TTATTAAAGTACTGAAAGAAAATATACAAAAATGCATTCAATTTTAGATCAGTGGGATGATATGGAAGGTAGGCTATTTCATCTTCTTTACTCTTTACATTTTTTTTACAGTAGGAATATATTACTTTGACAATCAGGGAGAAATACCATACCAAATTGAAGTTTTTCATAACTATGAAGCCAGGTTCATTATCTTCCTTATATATGTATGACTATGATTTCTTAGCTACCCTCCTGAACTCTATTCTCTCCATTTTTTTAGGTATTTAAGGAAGATTCATTTCCATCTAAACAGCAAATGACTCTTTCTTAAATACCCACTCATTTTTTTCTTATATAAGTTTATATTTTTCTTTTGCTTAGTCATTTTCAGTGCTGAATTATGTCTATATGTCAAGTCTCAACTTCTTTGGTCCCATAACACATATCCAACCTTGTTCCCTGTGAATTTCCAAGCTAGTTGTCATACTCCCAGGATCATTAACAGGGTCATTCAGTCTTCTGGTTTTTCTTTTGCAAGAATCCAACAGTATGCCTAGCCTTCTGCCTATTCAAACACAGGCTAAGCTTAGCTTCTTCTCTTGAGACCTTTTTGAATATTCCAGCTCTCAAAAGATTTTTTTACTCTTATATCTGTAGTCCTGACTCTATTCCGTGTAATTTAATGTTTGATCACACAAAGTCTCTATGTTCTTGATATCAAGAACTCTGATTTATACTTATTTTCTTGTCCCTACTTTCTGCCCAGAACTAGCTCAATAGTAAGGACCCTCTAAGCATTCATCAAATACTTGCTCATTAAAAGGAAAATGCTTCAAAACCAAGTATCACATCACGTGCTGCAGGTAGGTAGCAATTAAGCCTTCTAATTTAGTTTTTCTAACTTTTCAGAGCAAATTCCAGATTATCCTATATATTTCCATTTAAAAATAAATATTGCTAACACCATTGGGCAAGTAAGACATATGGCAATATAGAATGCTTTGGTAGCACTATGGCTGTGACTTAAATTACTGTGGATCAAACTGCCAGAAGCTGAGAAGATAACTGAATTTTCCTCTTCCTTTATCCTCTAGTGAGGACAGAAGATAACTATATCATGCCTATCGATGAAAATATTTAACAATAAAAAACTGAAAACACTGCTTTATAACTTAAATAATATAGTCTTACTACCAAATGTTTTAGTCATAGGATCTCTTGGAAGCTTGAATGGAAGCAAACTTTAGGGTTTTAATTATGGATGAAGCCATACAATTCTGGAAGCAAAGTATAGCAAGCAGCCAAAAATGTTACACATATGATTCTACTCCAAATGGGCACATTGGCCAAATGGTGAGGCCCTGCACAATCATACACTTTGACCACTCCTCCATATCCATCAAGAGGGAGGTGGGAAATCTGTTATCATAGATATGAATTTTATGTGTCTGCCTAGTCAGGCAAAATCAAATTGCTCTTGTTTTTATGATGTTTGATAGTTCTGACTTGGCTTTCAATATGTTATAGGTATTTTATGGCCTTTCAGGATTTCCTTTCAAGTAAAAGAAGATGAAAGATGGAAAAGGTACATCTTCTATTTCTTAGTTTTTGCAAAAGGGAGACCTTACAATTCCTTCTGTGGTCACTGATTTTTCTAGTTGATTGAAAACATTTAGCTAAAGCAAAGTTCAATTTTTTTAATTGAAACAATGGGGATACATATGTTACTTATCTAACTGACATGGGTTTTTAAAAAAAGATGCTGCTTTAGTAATTCTACTTATTACTCAGAACCAATACATTATATAAATATTATAAAATTTACCTAAAAGGTTTTTGACAAGGTGGGATAAATCTCTATATTCAAGTCATGGAAACTTACCTTTAAAAGACTAAGATTCCTTTTAAAAGCAGTCTCAACTGTTTGGAGCTGAGATGCCTTTTCTGTGTGTTGATTGCCCAATTTATTCTCCATTTGTTGAAGTAACATTAATCTTTGTGATACTCTAGAAAAAGAAATGAAGATTACATGGAGTTAAAAAATAAAAGCAAATACTTTACTGCTGGAGCAATATAAAAAGTTCATTTCTTAACTGCACCTCACTTCAAATCTAACCTAATTTGAAAGTCAATTACTATGTCAACTAATAAGACAGTGAAAAATCTGAGGTAGTTCAATAAGTCTTAAGTCAATCTGGTTAAAATCATTTTTATTTTCATTAACATATTCTTTATATATGCCATAAGTACATGCTTCTGTTTTTTTAGCCTCTCTGGTCTTTTGAAATTATTTTAGAATGTTGAAGATATGTTTTAATTTTTGGTGAAAATGCAAACTGTAATACATATCCTTTTGTACACATAGTTATATATACCTCCCGACACACATACATTGATATAACTTGCTATATGAAACCTTCTGCTTAACACTTCAGTACCCCTGAATCTCATGTTACACATTTAGAATTGTGCTAAACTTCCATATGTTTGAAGAAGCAATAAAAATATTTTTTCCCTCTTTTTCCAAGAGAAAGATGATGGTTTGATATATGAGTGAGAGGCTGTGTGTATATATGCATACTCACAACAAGGTAAAACAGTAATTGAAGAAAGATGTAAAAAAATTACAAGTAAATATCTTCAAACTACTTTGTTGTATATAATATACTTTGAAAGTTTCTTGCTGGTCAAATGTTTATTTTATACATTTTGGTTCTTTTTAAATGATTAATAAGATAATATATAAGATGATTAAAAAATACATAAATTGGTATACATAACAGTCAAACTGTTTCCAAAATAGTTGTGGAGGTTCTCAAAAGACACTGTGTTTCATCAGGCTGTCTTAAAGGTAGAACTAAAATCCCAGGTCTGTGAATAGTCAGTTTTTTGGTAAGGAAAGTATCTTAGGAGACAAGAAAAGAAGGTCTGGTACTTAATTAAAGAAAAGGAAAACCTGAGAGCTCACAGACACAGTAGGAAAAGAGTGAATAATATCAAATGAAGAGCAGGACTGGCTATACGATTTGCAGGGTCCAGTCCAAAATGATTCAAGACAATGTCATGAGAGCATTAAACCACATGCAGGACCTGTGACTATATATAATTCATAATACCAACGAAGCCAGCCCTGGGTAAGAAGTTTAGAGAAGGCCATTAAATACCAATGTGGAGCCTGGAAAGGGTGGAAGGAGGAGCAAATTTATCTAGATATTAGTTACAAAGAGAAAAAAATACATAGAACATACCTTTTAATCTTGCTTATTCATAAGAGACAATGAAATTCCCTAACATTAAAACCTCTTAAGTGTCAGAAAATTAAAATGACATGCTTTCAAACTTTTAAGTCATCTGTGTATACAATATTTCACTAACAAAGCCAGTCCAATTTCTATATTCGAATCATCCTTTTAAAAAACTTACATTTCTTCATGTCTTTTAGAAAGGCGAATTTCTTGAGCAAACAAGGAAGTCATCCTTAATCAAAGCTGTTATAAAGAATAAAAACATTTAAAGTTACTTCTACCACATGTCTTCAGCTTTGCAACATTTGATTATTTTAGTACCTTAATCCATTGGTTCTCTCAGAAGGGAAAATAAAACTAAGATGTAATAATGTATAGAATGAAAGAATGGAATTAAACACACTTTTATTCAGCATGCAGTTTTCCATATGCCAGCTACATCTAAGAACACCACAAATTAGGTAAATTCAATATATTTCATATTGTCTCTTATTTTCTTTCTAGACTCTAACCTTAATCAGAATTAAAAACAAACAAGCAGCTGGTACTAAGACTAGTAAACGTTTTATTGCATCAACAGAAAAAAATCCACTCTGTAAAATTCAACACAGGAACACCATCCCTTATGCATGTGCAAACACACATAGACAGAAAGGCAGGCAAACAAGTATGAGAACCAACTGGAAATTCAAGGTCTTTCCTTTATTGGAAGAGTGCCCAGTTCTACCATCTCTCTTCTAAATGGGAAAGTACTTCTCATGTGTAACCGTGAGGAAAAGCACAACTAGATACCTTCCCGTTACCCTGGCTGCTCAGCACTCTTTATTTGTGGAGCGTAGGAAAGCCCATTTTCATGGTACATTTAACACCACAAGCAAGCTCACCTTGGCTAACTGGACCGATACAGACAGAGGTCTAGTGAAATGCGCTGAAGGCCTCCAACCTGCAGGCAAATCATCTGGTTGGGCTTAAAGGCTGAAGGTGCTTGCCCTAAGGGAGAAAAAGAGGAATAAAATTCTTTCCTGAAACGAAGCTTTCCTAAATTTTATGAAATTAAACATCTGTGCACTCTATAATGATTGTCTAAAGACTGACACACCGCCTAAGTGTCCAGCGCTGCTAGAAAGCCCATGGCTATTGAGTGTAGGGCGCTGAGCCCGGCCAAGGAAAACGGAAACACCGCCCTGCCCTCATCAGGTTTTCTCCTCTAGGCGTGGCAGCCTTTCCTTCAGCACCGCGGACAGCAATCGCTCACAGGCCCGCCCTCCAGGGTCTAATTACAGATACTTTCCGCTAACATCACCGCAGGCCAATCGTCGTCGCCTTCCTCTCGGTTTCCTTTTGCTACGAGGCCGCAGCGCCAAGGGAATTCCGGAAAGTCGGTTCATGGTAACTTTTCTGTGAGGCCCGCCATCAGCACTTTAGACAAAACCCAAGTCAAATTCTCCCCTTGGAACCGAAGATCCGCACCTTCTTAGAGTCATCTGCCCTCCAGCCGCCCCAACTCCCGCTTATACCCGAAGGACTCAGGAGCCTTCCTCATCAGCCTGGCTCTTTACGTTAACGACATCCTCCCAAGAGGCCCTGCAGGCCCCTGCGCGGCCGTCGGGCAGTCAGGGCACCCACCCGCGGTCCGACTCCACTCACCGAGCCCGCCTCTGAGCCCTTCCGGGAAGGCACCAGCTACTGCGCCGACGCCGGGGCCTCAGCGCAGGCCTGGGCGTGGTCACGCTACCATATCGGCGCACGCGCGGCGCGCGGTGACGTCACCGCATCTTTATAAAGGGCCGCCAAAAGTTTCCTAACGTGTAAACGCGAAAGTTTCCTGAGGTGTAGCTGCAACCAGAAGGTGGGCGTATGGTACGCGGCGGGCGGGACGGGACGTTGGCTTGAAAAGGCCTTTATGACGCCTAGGGAAAGGCCGTCTGGTAGTAGCTCAATTTCAAGACCTTTTAAAATTTAAACCTTTATAAAGGTTATTCTGCTGGTAAACGCTTCAGAGAGTGAAGCTGGTTTCTTTGAAGCTGGAATGTCCCAGCAGAATGTAGAAGTGTGAAAAACTCGACAGAGTAGTCCAAAGTTGGTGGAATTTGCAGTCAGTCGGTTTATTCAGTGAATGTCTATGGAGCAGCTTCAAGGTGCTTTGTCCTGGGCGTCTCAGACTGAGCAGAGCAGCAAGAAGTCCCTGCCCGCTCACAGTTCGTAGCCTGCGTGGTGACAGTAATACTGCTCAATCACGTCTTGAGGGGTTTCTCAGTGTCAGTCGCCATATTTGCGTGGGTTATCTGATTGAGTCTCCGCAACGCCCTGTAAAATGGGTACCATTAGCTTTATTTGACAGCCAAGGAGACAAGCCTGTCTTTGTAGTATCGGTGCTGTAAAGTGCATTTCTTAAACATTTTTATTCCTTGAAATAACTGAAGTACGCGGTAGTGTCAGTCCTCTAGTTTACGGCGGAAGAAACAGGTTCAAGAGAGGTAAAAGTGTTTTCTTTATGAAGGTTACTCTGCTGGTAAAAGACAAAGAGCTAGGACTCCAACCCAAAGTGTATTTTTAATTTCTTCTCCCAGAATGTCTACATAAAACTTAGCTCTTGCTTCAGGACTTGTGCACTTAATGTTTCCTTTGCTTTGAAAACCCCTTCTTCAGACACTTACATATATTCAATTCCTTGTATCTTTCAATCTGCTTCCTCACAGGACCATTCCTTCAGTCCCCAACATAAGATCCCCACCTGCTGGCTCCCTATCCTCCTGTTTTTTTTCCACAACACTGTAACATTGCATATATTATGTAATCACTCGTTTATTTGTTTACCAGTGCACCCACCACTAGAATTTGAACATTGTAAGGACAGATATTTTTGTCTCTGCTTTGCTGCTGTATCCTCAGCAACTGGAACTACCTGACATGTAGGTAGCTGATCAGTAAATATTTTTGAATGAATGAATAAAATAATTCCTCCCATTCACATTCATCATAATTTCAAAGCACTCTACCTTCACTTTATAAGAACTTTGATTTTGCTGTTCCTTACCCTTACCATTTAGTAAAGATGAAAAGTAGACCCTTGAGTGGTCCTGTGTTCTAGGAATGAAGTAGAGCTTTTGCATGTTTACAAGAAATGCTTGTTTATTTTTTATGTACTTTTAAAATAAGGGTTTTTCTTAAGTTGGTAATGGGTTGTGTGAAAATAATAACCGCGAGCTCGTTACAGCATTTGTATGTTGCTTGACAAACTGCTGACCTCACTGCTTTGTATAAGTTTGCATAGTAACACAGTTGGGACAAATCCAGCTCTTTCAACTTTGAGCCCAACTTTTTTAGGTTACTGTCCGCCTTAGCTGTGAACAAAGGAATACCTTGGGAGTTTTCTTGCAGTTTTTAGAACAGTAATCAGGACTATATCACAGACACTTGGAGGTTATCTAGATAGACTTTGGTAATTTATTTTATAGCATCCAATAAAAGTGCTTACTTTCTATTTAAAGATCTGCTGCAATAGCTGCCCTTCTCATGATATTGCCCACAGCTGATCCTTTCTTTGAGTCACCAAGCTGGTGAGGAAGAATCTCTGGCAACAGTGTTTCTATTAATATATAGCTTCTATACTTATCAGATAAGTTTGGGTACTTTCTGGAGTGAGGTATTCATAGCCTGCCATGAAAATTATTGCAACCTGCTAAGTAACAGCTGACCCATAATGTGACAATCCGCAAAGGTGTTGTGAATTTAATGTTTCCTATCCCCTAGACTAGTTCTATGTACCAGCATGCTATGATTATCTCCTCAGCCTCATATAATCTTCTCTAATTGCCCCCTTAGCTTCATTATTGAGAAAACATTGTATCATTTAGTCATACATTCTATAAAGATGTATGTATTAAACATCTGTAAAATGGAATCTGCCCTTAAGAGCCTAGAATCTGGATGGGCTTTCAAGGTAAACACAAAAAACTGAAAGATGATGGCTGAAAACATAAAGATGGTTTTTATGGAATGTTTATTCTGTACCAGGCACTTTCCATGAATTACTTTATTCTCATAAAAACCCTGTGAGCAAGGGTGCCGCCTCATTTTTATAGCTGAGAAAATTGAGGCTTAGAGAAATGATTTACTTAAGATCACACTGCTAATTAATGAACTCCAAGCCATTTGATGTTAGTATTCTAAGTAATTCTGTACGTTATCTTCAGATTATATCATTAAAAAGTATGCCGATTATGAGAATGATAGAGAAAAAAGGAGAGAGCACTATGAACCAGAATAGTGTCGACAGCATTTTGAAAGACCGAGGTGGACCTTGAAAAATGGGCTGATTTGGAAGTCTGTTTTTGTGATTGGGCATATCAGGTGGCAGGACAGTGTGGTGTGGAATGTTCTGAGGGAAGCAGCTTGCATAGAAATGTGTGCATGAGAGTACATCTGGTGTGCGGCCTAGTGGAAAGGAAGCATTGGGAAGAATGTTTTCTCCTCATTTTTCTTAATTTTGAAGATTTCATTTCATTTAATAACCGCGAGCTCGTTTATAGCATTTGTATGTTGCTTGACTGCTGACCTCCCTGCTTTGTATAAGTTTGCGTAGTAACACAGTTGGGACAAATCCAGCCCTTTCAACTTTGAGCCCTTTTCATTTCTAGTGCCAAATAATTTGAAAATGGAGCTTTGATAGTAATAAAGAGACAAAATTATTGGAGGAGGTAAGACTGGTGAGTACAGAATAGAAATGAAGACAGAAAAAGGAAGGCTTGAGGATGGAAAGGAAAGACGAGCTTTAAAGAGTAAGACATAAATAATTGCAGAATCTTTGACTATTTCAAATACTCCAAGTTATTACCAGTAAATTCTGTTATAGTTTATATAAAGGCCATCTTTATAGACCCCCTTTGAGTTTACTCTGGGTAGACAAGTACTAAAAAAATAGCTCACGACTGACATAGTTTTTCTTCCTATTTCAGGAAATCTCAGATGAAATTTGGTAAAGTGTGTCCAATTATCTGTGTTCTTTTCTTCGAAATAATCAGAAATTTACCTTGTTTTAGAATTGTAGTCTGTTGACTTTATTATGGCAAAATAGTCTATATTCAAAATATATCTGAAATGCTTTAAATTGGCCCTTGCTGGATGTTGAGTAGAGAGAATTTATAAGCAGATTTTTCTTTAGAGGTTTTGTTAGTGAACCAGGTATCAATTTAGGTTCAATCAGATAAAATGCTACAGTAGAGAAATCATTCTCACAGTTGATGCTTATATTCCAGACATTCTTGGCTGAGATAACAAGGTCTTGCTGATAAAACTATGCTCAATCCTAGAGATTGCCAGTGAGACTTTGCATATGACTTCCTTGGAAAAACAAAAACCTTGGTAGTTGTAAAATGCACTTGAGAAAATATTAGAAATTTTAAATTGAAAGCACACATGATGATTCTTAGGAAATCATTTGTTGTATTACAGTGGGAGAGGGAAAGCTTCCTTTCTCTTTGAAGGTTTGTGGAAATGACTGACAAACAGATTAATAAGAGTAAAAGGCATATGATATGCTTTGGCCCTGTGTCCATACAATTTTCTTTCTAAATTACCCAGTCTTGGGTATGTCTTTATTAGCAGTGTAAGAATGGACTGATAGAGCATACAAATCTCACCTTGAATTGTAATAATCCCCATGTGTCAAGGGTAGGACCAAGTAGAGATAATTGAATCATGGGAGTGGTTTCCCCCATAGTGTCCTCCTGATAGTAAGTTCTCTAGAGAGAGATCTGATGGTTTTGTAAGGGGTTTCCCCCTTGGCTTAGGCACTCATTCTCTCTTCTGACACCCTGTGAAGAGATGTCTTCCATCTTGACTGTAAGTTTCCTGAGGCCTCCCCAGCCATGTAGAACTGTGAGTCGATTAAACCTGTTTTCTTTCTAAATTACCCAGTCTTGGGTATGTCTTTATTAGCAGTGTAAGAATGGACTGATAGAGCATACAAATCTACTTAATGTGCATAAACACAGGAACCATATAAAATATGAGACTCAAAGAGTGGCCAGATGGCTGAGGCTTAAATACTGAGGTGGGAGAGGGAAATGGTCTAAGGGGTGCTGTAGGCAGTTTTTAGAGAAATGATAAATGATGAGGGAAGATGAATGGGTTCGGGAGATAGAAATATTAGCTTGTAAACAATTCGATTTGTAATTTGAATGAGCCCAAGGGGCAAAACAAAATCCCTTCAGAGGTGATTACATGCCTCAATCTTCTTTCCTAGTAATAAAATTTAAAGGAGGAGATGGAAGGCAATTATGTTATCTTTGGTGGGCCAGGTCTTAAGGCCTACCAAAAGAAATATTAGTTAAATTTCACCCTGTAATGTGGATGGGGAGAAGGGAAGACAGGAGAGATGAGAAAGTCCTTGATTCAGGGATTATAGGTGTCCTGTGACTTACAGCTATAATCCTAGCACTTTGGGAGGCTGAAGTAGGAGGATTGCTTGAGGCCAGGAGTTGAAACCAGCCTGGGTCACAAAGCGAAACCCTGTCTCAAAAGATAAAAAAAAAAAAAAAAAGAAGAAAGTCCTTGATTCTGAGGTAACTTCTAAGGCCTATTCTGTTATGGTTCAAAGTGTTCAGCATGCCATAACACCATACATTTTGTAGCATTGTGTTCTAAGCCCCAACAGTATACAACAGCATACATAGTAAATGTGTATGCACATGTTCCTTAATGTTTGGTTAGGTTACATCCTGATAAACCTATTGTAAGTCAAAAATATCCTAAGCCAAAAATGGATTTAATACCCTATAAACCTATTGTAAAGTCAATAAATTATAACTCAAACTGTTGTAAGACAGGGACCATCTGTGCTTTTTA